CTTGAGATGAGACAATCTATTCATTTATTGATATATTTTCACCATAGCCTTTTTCTTTATTGCCCAGGTAAATTACACTTTTTAGTAGTGAAAAATAAGTAAAAAAGCATTTAAATAATCAGTAAGTTAAGTATATAATATTAGGCAAAATTTGTCAAGTAATGGTAATTTGGCAAACCTGAGCAAATGAACATATGCTGCGAAGTGGCACGTGTGCTAAGCCAAATTATTATATTTGACAATTTACCTAATATTGGTATTATCTGGCAATTTATGGTCATGATTGGTAGAGAGTCATTAGTTGAGTTTTATGTGAATAAACATATTTACATTGTAATATATAAAAAAATAAAACCGATGGCAATTCATGATCATAAAAGTTTGCTGAATATAAATTTTACTATATAATTTAATTTATTTTTTATGCATTTATTAATTTACCTTTCATTTCATCATGGACAATGTTATAGATGTTGATGTAGGAAAGATATGCGTCTCATTTTTGAGTTAAAGGTAAAGAACTCAAATCATTATTGTTACATAATTGATTGACTCTGTTATAAAACATTGATACAATTTGTGTGAGTTTCATCCCTTCTCTTGCACTTTCTCTTATTCATTCCTTTGCCTGTTGGGACAAATGAAATTGCACAGATCTTCATCAGTTCCAGGTACATGTCCATTATGAAGTGTGTAGTAGGTAATTTGAACTGCATCATCCTGTTCATTACGATGTTTTTGTACTTTTAAGTAGGCTTACATCCCACCTTCTTGGATGGCTTCTGAATGAGTCAAGGTTTATTGCAACCTGATAATGATATCAAATTTGATCAGCAGAATAAGTTACAGTTCTAGGATTTTCAGCATAATGACATAAATATTTGTCATTTAACTCATATTCTTTACTTTCTCGTCTGAGATGCCGAACATAATGAGACCCAGAAATATTAGGAAGAATATTTTTGATTCAATCTTCATACATGTTTAGGTTAAGATGAGTATATGTTTCTATATTATCATTTGAATCATCAATTTGTTCATCACCAATTTGTCCATCATCAGTTCATTCATCATCAATTCGTTTATCTTCATAAATAGCTTCATTGATTATATTAATTGGGCCAAATTCACTAAACATATTAACTTTTTGAATATATTTTAAAACTCAATATTAATGAAGGTGATATAGCATTGTGATCACCTCTTTTATAACTTTTTTGATATGCTTAATAACAAAAGTTTTATTAATATATGTTATCTTTAAATAACAGGAGGAACCATCAATATTACATGACTGATTCTTTACCTGGTGTGCAACATATAAAAAAATCATTTTACAATACCAGATCATTCTGCCAGTACAGGTTGTTATCATAATCCCACACCATTTTATTATAATAAAAATAGTGTGGGATTATAATCATAACCTGTACTAACAGAATGATCTGGTATTGTAAAATAATTTTTTTATATGTTGCAAACCAGGTGAAGAATCAGTCATGTAACATCGATGGTTCCTCCTGTGACTTTGAATGGGTATTAGCACAATAAAAGTCTTATTTTTTTATTATTATTTAATTACATATTTTTTATTTTACAAATTCAGTAGAAATCAAGGCATTGACATGCAATAGGAGGCTTTTTTTATCTTTTAATTTTATCTTTTTTATTCTCACGAATCATCAGATGATAGAAGCATTAGCATGCAATGGGAGTGAGTTTTATTCTTAATTTTGATTTATTTTTATTTATTTTTGATTTTTTTTTTGATATTTAATTTTATATTTATTTTTACGAATTAGCAGGTAATAAAGACATTGGAGCATAATTTTATATTTATTTTTATGAATCAGCAAGTAATGAAGACATTAGAGTATTTTTTAATTTTATTTTCACAAATCAGCAGGTATTGGCATGCAACGAAAATATTTTTTAATATAATTTTATATTTATTTTTACGAATCAGCAGGTAATGAAGAATCAGCATGCGATGGGAGTATTTTATATTTATTTTCATGAATCAGCAGGTAATGAAGGTCTTGGGAGTATTTTTTAATATTATTTAATATTTATTTTCACGAATCAGTGAACAAAAATTATAAGCTCAAATAGAAATTCTAGGTAATGAAGGCATTGGCATGTAACGGGAGTATTTTTTTTAATATAATTTTTTTTTAATCTTCTTTTTATTTTTATTTTTTTAATCTTTGATTACTATTTGACAAAAAATAAATTAGTACATGCATTTTTGTTAGAATATCCATTAATAAAAAAACCATAAAAAATATTATAGTAAAAATTCTATTTTTTATTAAATTTATTATTTTTAGTACAGTCAAACCTCCGTAAATGCATCCTCTATAATGCGGTCTTAATTATTTTTTTTACTATGGTCCCGAGGAAGCATACTTATGGGGATCTGATTATTTTAGTTAATACATATTAAGTAAGCTATAGAATTTTATGCAATTAATGCTGTAATAATAATTTTAATAATCCATGTTTACTATGTATAATTATTTCAAATAAATAAAATTTAATAATGCAAGTTTTTATTGAATAATAATCTATTTAATTAATAACAATTATTTATTTATTTATTTAATAACAGTGATGGTACGTATTTATTTAGTACAATAATTTATTTATTTGACATTTATGTACCGTTAATTGCATATGTACTGCATACTTGAATTTGATTTTTTCTATGTGGATAGTTCAGTAATAATATTTTGCCAAGAATAATGTGAAATTAAGAAATGAAATATTAGAGGTTTCAAAATTAAAATCAGAGAATCTTACTTTATTTTTTCAAAACACGCCACTCATTTGTTAATTGGGAAACCCTCTATTGTATAGAACGTAGAACATCACAAATAAGATATAAAATATATGTCATAAACAAGATAAAAAATATGTCATGAACAAGATATGAAATATAAAACGTAACGAATAAGAAATAAAAATCGATTAAATGAGCGTTTTTTCTTATAATTTATTGACTATTTTTTGCAGTATTAAATCCTGGAGTTAAAGTTATTGCGGGGCAATTTTACAGCTAAAATTTCATTTATTAAGAGCAAAATACTTAGTCTTGAGAAATCAAAGAGTATAAAAACTTAAAAGGTTTGTAAAACGAAAGTAGAAAACACTACCACTACTGGGGACCTTTGATATAGTAAGGAAGATCATTATCTTGTGAACGGTTCTGATTGGCCATTCATGCATGCATGGTCACGCGTAGATGTTCAGAGAACATAGGTGATGCGCAAATAGATGCACCCATAGTATAGGTTAGGCCAATTTGTTAGTGCGAGTAAACAAATGATGTCATTGCAAGATTTCATGTGATGTGATGATTACTGGGGTACCTATTCTTCAAGTGTCCCGGCTAGGGTACTACCTTTTTAATTGACGACGACAAGGTTCTTGTCAGTTTTACTCGTTCATTCAAATCTAACAGTGATTTTTGATTTATACATCGTGCAACACGTTCACAAACCAACTGCTGTTGCAACTTGTTGGCAAAACCCGGACAAATCCCAAACCTCCAAAAAACAAATGCTTTTATAAAAAATTAAACGAAATAATTTTGATATTTTGTTAATCTATAATATATGGCTATAAGAATACATATCATTTGTTTGAATGAAGATTATTAATAAAATTTTTAAGATATTAGTTTGGGACTTGGTCGCGGACAACTCAAACTATGATAGTTTTGGATTTGGGTGGCAAGTATAATTTCAATACTCCAAAACACGATTCACGGTACTTGAAACCTCCTTAACCTTCTACACTGTATAAATCTAGCGAATTCCAAAATTAAAGGTTTTACCTAACGACCTGTTTATAGTTTAGGGTTTTGACGGCAATCAAAATAAAAAAAAGGTTACATTCAACTCTCCTAAATCCGAACCTGGATAATTCGAACCCTTAATAAATTCTGTAAAAATCGAAAACAAAGCTCTAGAATATTTTGTAAATTTTATTAAAAAGTTCGGATTAGCAACATAATAACTCTTTAAATACCGAACTTTTTGATATTTTTACATATAAGAACGGACCGTTCGGAAGAAAGAGTTGACTGTATATTTAAATTTTGATAATAGCTTTAATTGTAAAATTTAGCTATTGTCTTTTTATACAAATTCTAAATATATAATATAGCCAACTTTTTCTATTCCGAACGGTTAGTTCTTATGTAAAAATAGCAAAAAGTTCGGTTTTTAAAGAGATAATCCGAACTTTTTAATAAAATTTACAAATGTTCTAGAGCTTTGTATTCGGTTTTTACAGAATTTATTAGGGGGGTTCGGATTATCCAGGTTCTTATTTAGGAGAGTTGATTGTAGGAAGATTTTTAAAATTGCTTGTCTTTGCTGATTTCTGTAACGTCTAACTTTCAAAAGCCTGAAGTTGGAAAAGATTTATCTAAAAATGTATTTATAAGTATTTATTAATCTAATAATCTTAATATGTGTATCACAAGAAATGCCGCGTTCGTCCAAAAGTAAAGTTTTTAATAAAAAATTTTATGCTTAGTGATTTTAAAGTTAAGGCAAGCACTGAGGCCATAATGATTTAATTAGATCATCATAATTAATAAACATTTGTAATCTATATCAATAAATGGTAAGTGGCATGTTTAAAAAAACTAGTCTGGAGCACGTCTTTGTGACATTAAGTTTCTTAATATTATAAAGGTTCCAGCAACATATGCAGAGTTAATAGTGATTTAATATTCATCAATTGTCACAAAATAATACTTGATCATCAAGCTAACCAAAACTATGTAACGTCCAATATCAGAGGAGTATAAACATATAAACACAAAATTTTTTTAACAGATTTGATTTATATTAGTCAAAACGCGACTATTTGTCAACCAAAAAAAATTAATATTAAGATTTATTTCAATAATTAAACTTTACATATATAATTTATACATAATAATAATTATATAATTATCAATGATTGTTTGTACATCACGAAATGTTTTACGGAAGTTCTAATTTAATACTCTCATCATCATTAGTAAATTCATCAGTGGTACTTCTCTCATTTTGACCATCATAACTATCATGACCATCTTGTCCATCTTGACTACTTGATCTGACCATATGATGATCATAAAAATTACTTAAATAAGGCGAATATTGATTAAATTTAATAAAGAATAGTTTACTAAATATGTTTGAAAGTGTTGAAATACCCGAAGCTATTAAAGCGAAAAAAGGAAGAATATCGTATTCAACACTAGAAAGTATATAAAATATCTAATATGTATAATATATATAAATTTAGTAAAATTAGATATATTTATTATTAACAATTTATTTTTATTTCAACATACCTGAATAATAAATTGTGGTATATCTTGCAGAATTATATCAACACAAGAACCCCAAAAAATTGAAGTCACTGCTTTATCTGATAATGGAGCTCTAAAGAGTTCAAAATCCATCAAGTTTGATTTTAATATTAACATTATATCAATATTTGTGCCAGATAATAATGCAAATGAAGTAGCAGCCCTTCCATATTTTATAAACCACACTCTGAATTCGTCTTTCCCAATAAATATTATTGCAAAGGCTATAAATAAGTTAAATACTATGGGAGTAATTAAAAATAACACACTAAAATTTTTTTTAGATAATAAAAATATAAAGTTAATATTAGAATTTTTTTTTTTTAATATTTATTTAAATGAAGTATAAATTTTACCTTGGTAAGAAAAGATTTGGAACGGTTTTCGCATCAGTAAAAGTAAATATTGCAACAGTGGCAGTACGAAATATTGTAATACCAATTTGGAGAATTACAAAGTTTTGACTCTAGATTTATATAGATATATTAGATATGGAGAAAAGAAATTAAATAATCTAATATTATAATTCAAGAAAAATAAATACCTTTGGTGATTTTATCCTGGCTATGATAAATAATATTAAAAATAAAACTATGCCTACAAACAACAAAATGAACTTTATCTGATGTAATTGAATGAATTCTGATATTGACACTATAAAAAGGTAAAATCAAACCAAAAACAATTAAGTTTAATAAAAAATATAAATTTTATTATTAAAAAAAAGAAAAATCCAAAATAGTACTTACTGGATTCTTGAAAACCATAATCACTATCTAACCAACGTGATACATTTCCAAAAGATATGGACGTAATAGCTTTGTTTTTTATTAGTAGGTTTAGATCATCTTTGAGTGCTGTAGCATTTTTTCTGTCGCCATTCCTCATTTCATAAATGGTAAGCGAGATAAGGTATTGTTTAGAACCGGGTGAAGATGGATCAATTTGATAATGCATATTTGAGTCTAATCTTCCTTTCTCCGTGGGAATTATAATTAAGAGTTCATCCATTAATTGGGTAAAAAATTGAGATATTCCGGAGTTAGCCATTAATTCTTGAAAATATGTAGTTATATTTTCTGTTAACCGTAGTTTTCCACGGATATCACCTAATAAATTAATAGTTTTAGTTGATGTTAAGTACATAGATAAATTCATGGATAAATTTAAATTACATTACCAGTACGCTTTTGATTCTGTATAATGCTATTATCTATTTATATTGATTAATAAGATTCTCTATTAATAACCAAATTTAAATAATTTAAATAATTAAAAGAATACAATATTATATTATAATATAATATAAACCTGTTTGAAACATCCATATATTTTGATTAATTCCCAGTAAGGGTTCATTGTAATCTGCGCTCTTTACAAAGTTGTTATCCATTACTATGTAATATTGACCACCTGGATCATTAAAGATGCACGTAAGAATTTTGAGACTGATATAGGTGCCTAAAGGAATGCATTGACTAGGATCACAAGTTTTTGAATTAATCAATAGTCGAGGAACATTGAATCCGCCAATTTGTTGGTAAATTGTTAAATTTCCATCTGAAAACGAAATGCGATCGAAGAACGTGACGTTGATCATAGCGGTATTCAAGGGTAAATCTTTAGTGTTTATGCTAGGATATGTTGAGTTTATTTGTAAATTACCATAACCAGTATCTATAAAATGTAATATAGATGTCAATTAAATAAAAAAGTTTCTAATGACATAGTTATTATTTAAATTCCTAAAATATTTTACCAGTACGTGGAGGCGGAGCAAGTAGCGGAAGGTCGATTGAAAGAATACGCCAAGAAGTGGTTGATTCATTTAGTGCCACTAACATGGTATTATTTGGTAATATAAGAAATGCTCCATATAGATTTGAGAGAATTGGCAGTTGCGGAAATACCCAATTGGGAGAATGATCAAATTCATCATAAAGACTAAAGTTGAAATTTGTAGCTATATTTACACCTTGTATAGTAAATTCTCGTGATATATGTGTATATCCCCCAAGAGGCAAGTTTCTAAGTATTTCTAAGGAATTAAACGGTATGTTGAATATTGGATTCAATGTCATCACGGAGCCAGTGGAAAGAAAACGTATTCGGATATAAAATAAATTAAAAGTTATATTAGGCGGAGCAGTGTTATTAACCATAGTGACATTAACTGGTGTGAAAACTTGTGTAGCAGTAGTCGCTGTCGCGTTAATAACTGTGGTCGTGGTTGCATTAAACAACGTGCTATTGACAATGGACGGCGGATTCGAAATTAGTTGTTGTGCGCGTATAATGCATATATGACCAATGAAAACGTAGTCGACAGAGCAATGTAATTCAGCGAATGTTATATTAGGAGTAGTCATTTCATATAAAATAGTTCTTTGACTTGTTCTTGTTTGATTATAAGTTAATAATATAGCATATACACCTGCTTTTGCAGTAAGCTGAGCAGATATCGGGTCAGGAGCTGTATAGTCATTAGTCGAATTAGCATACACAATCGCATATCCATCATTCAGAGTTGGAAATGCGACAATTTGAAAGCTGCTGATATGGTTGTTTAAATTTTCAACTGTGTCATTCTGTAATAAATTAAAAAATCCATTCCCAGTACTAAAAAGAAAAGAAAAAAAAAAGATTTAAGATGATTAAATAAATAATTGACAAACACAAGAATGCAACATACTGTGTATATTGCCTCCACATAAAATTATATGTTCCATTAACCGCAGATAAATGTAAAAATCCTTTTTGAGGAGTAACGTTAATTACTACATTTGTATTTGGATTCCAATTAGTGGTGCCCGGATTCAAATATGATGGCCCAAACTCGAGTGTACTATGGTATGATAATATATAATCAATTGCATATTACTGTTTAGGAATTTTTAAATACTTTAACAAACCTTATGTTTTTCCCGCTCCAATCTATAACCACACCTTTCTCTATAAAAGTTGTATTATCAAAAGTATTGGTTGCATGAATGTATGTTACTAGAATGTATTGATCAAATAATGGGTAAAATTGTATAGGATTTTTAGAACCAACTAAGCAATAGTTGATATCTTGTATTTCCTCAATATTATCAAGATTTATTGGAATAACGCTTCCATTTGTTTGAATAACGCGAAGTAATATCCTTCTCTCCAAACATCTATTAGTTCTAGCTATGTAATTTTCTCGGGCGATGCGAACAATTGCTGTACCCTTATTATCAAAATATCTCTGAATATCTATGATGCGAGGTTGAGTACCAGTAAGATTAGGCTGAATGGATACTTCCGGATAGGTAAAGTTTGAATATCTTACGACAGTTTGCGTAAGTCCCGTTGGTAAAACGGCTAGAAGGAAGATAATAAAAATGTTTAATACTAAATAATTTGATAGAATTTTCATTTCTTAAAGGTTGTCATTGAAAAAGGATTTTACGGAGCTTGAATTGAGCCACAAATATTTATATGCATTAATTTTAACATCACGTAGTAAATGGTAGTTAATGATGTTACAAAATTGGAAATGATCATTCAATTAAGATTACTGTGAATATCGACATTGACGTAGTAAAAAAAAATTCGGGGATCCAGTTGTACTAGATTTCTAAGCTGGTTTCGATACGAAATGATTAACAATTTCATACAAAATATATATACAATGCTTATTGACTGTATCCGAAAACTTTAACAGCACTGAATGAGGTTTTCCTCGTATCTGCCTGTCGATGTAATTTCAGTTACATTACATTTCCTGTTGTAGTTAATGATTCCTATTATAGTTTAATGTTACAATGTCTATTCTTTCGAACCGGTTTATTAAAATCCGGATTTAAAAGTACTACGTATGAACTCCGATAGTGGCGTAGTCATATTTGTCGATCAACTATGTCCGAATTTCTTCCTTAGTTATTGTTATATCGTTATTATGTTTCATTGTTATATCGTTATTATATTTCATTGCTATATCTATTTCTTATACGTATCTATTGTCATATTCATACTTCTATATATAGTTATTTGATACGAAGCAATAAAGTTTCTTTTTGTCAAAAGAATTATTGAATTGAAAAATCTTAGAAGTGAATGTAGAAATGACTTGATCTACATTGATCTACATTGGTTGCATATCATCCTGCATTAAACTACAGCAGAGACAGTGCCCGATCCAAAGTGAATCCCTCTCGCCTGTGATCAATCACAAATTAAATTATTTATGTTGGATCCCTCACTAGTTTTAATATATGTATAACATTAACGGTCTCTGTTGCATTAAACTCGATATTTTTGTTCCATATCGATATCCATGCCTCTATATTTTATTCATAAAATAATAAACAATCTGTTCAATTTCCAATTAATTAAATTTTGTGAATTTTTGTGTAAAATGCTTGTGAACATCAAAAAACAGATAAAACGAAGTAAATGAGTGAACATAAGGATGATAATAAAATGGTCTTTACAGAAACTTAGATTTCTTAATGCATAGTAACTGCATAGTAACTATATAGTTACTATATAGTTACTATGTAGTTACTTGTATATTAAGATATGTATAGATGTTGTGGCTTAAAATTAATTCAATTGATCGGCCAAATTTTAAACATTTAATTAACACATAAGAAATGGCTCAGTATTTGTGCTATGCTTTATGCCAAATCTGTCATTGTGCTTTTGATCGATTTGACTATGAGAAAAGTTCCGTTTTGAATTGTATTTATTGCAATGAGCGTGCTGTACTAAATAACACGAGCAGCATGAGCAGCGGTGACTTTGCAAATGCAAAGAGCCTCGAAATAAATTTTATTAACCCGAATTTTTTGTATACAATGATGCCAAAAAAAAGGATAAATGCTACGAGCGATCCATTTTGAAAAGATGATTGACTGTTGTGTGATACTCATGGTTCATGATGTTGGTGGTTAACCATTACTGTACTGCATTATTGAAGACAAATTATAAATATGAATAATCGAATTAATAAGTTTATTAAATATGTTGCATGTCATTTATTGATTCCCGTCAATTCGGAATCGACGCATGTTGTTTTTGAATTTTCACCGATTAACAAATGACGCATATCATTTTTGGATGCAAATGTTATCGGACTTTATGATACTAACGATTGCATATCATATCGATGAAATAAAAAGTTTAATTAATTAATTACGTATCTAATAATTACATATTAATTACATATTTATTATATCGATAAAATAAAAGCCAAGTTAATTAAATACGTAACATACTGTACCTATTAGCCATAAAGTGAAAAAGAAAAACAACTTTAAAGAAAAATTTCTTTGTTACAATCTTGGAACCACAAACCTTTAATTTTCTGTCTCGTGAATCTTTTAATCGAATATTGGAAGCATATATCAGTCAAAGAAAAAACAACTGTTGTTTGATGCATATCAATCGCTATAATGAATGCATAAATATATTAAAAAATCCCAACCTTTTGCACAATCCAAGGCTTAAATATTGGGTTACCCATACATTTAAAGTACTTAGTCTTGGTGCAACAGAAGAACTTCATTTACTGAAATGTGATGAAAATAATTTAGGGACACAAGTTTGTCCAGTAGAAACTTTTTATAATGTGATTTGCACCGCACATCAAGCAATTGAGCATGGAGGCCAGGAAAGAACCTGGAAAAAAGTTATTATATTCATTATTATTGTCATTACAGTATTATAATAAATATCTTTTATTTAATCTGCATAATAATTCAATTAAAGATTCGAGTTCGATATTGCTTTATCCCACAGCAAATAGTTGAGGATGCAATACGTGAATGTCAAGTATGTATAACAAGGCAAGCAATTAAGAAGGTTCTGCCTATTCATCCAATAGTTGCAGAAGGGTTCTTGAATCATGTGCAGGTAACTCTTAAGATTTTAATATTATATATTTAATCATATTTTTTTAAGTTTTTAATATTTACTAATATTTACTGTAGATTGACACAATCAATATGACGGCAATACCAGATGGACAGTACAAATACATTATTCACATAAGGGATCATTTCTCCCAGTTCTCATATGCTGAATTCACTGTGTCCAAGTCAGCTGAGGATACCGCAACAATTTTATTTAATTTCTGTTTGATATATGGTCCTTCTGCAGTTCTTCATTCTAATAATGGAGATGAATTTATTGGAAAAACTATTAAGGAAGCAATGAGTCTTTGGCCATCTATTAAAATTGTTCGTGGTCGGCCTAGAAATCCTCAGTGTCAAGGTCTTGTAGAAAAAGCCAACAGCATTCTTCAAAACAAACTGGGAGCTTGGATGGAGGATACACACAATAATAACTGGAGTGTAGAGCTAAAATTTGTGATTTGTAAATATTTATAAACAATATATCATATAATAATATCTTAAGATTCAAATGACATTTAACTTTTTTTTTTTATAATCTATTTATAAAGGGGCAATGAATAATCAATATTGTTCTGCACATAAGACCACGTCTTACAATGTGGTCTTTGGGCAGTTGTCACATAGTGATACTAATATAGTCGACATTTTAGAAAATAATAATCATGATTATGATCATGAAACAAATAATATTTCATTTGAAAGTGATTCTTTTGAGAATAAAGATTTACTTGAAAGTGAATTAGATCTGCATCATTTTTTAGAAGAAAGTTCAGAAGATGAATTAAATCCAAACTACTTTATAGCAGAAGACAACGTTTATTATTCTTCAGAGAAAGAGTCTTATAATTCTGAATTTGCATACAGAATTAGTCCAGAAATAACAGTTATATCAGACAATAGTGAATCCAAAGTAGAAGTTATTTGTGAAAAGGGAAAATCTAAAGCTAATCTTATTGAACTGCAAGTAATAACAATTGTATTATGAATTTAATTAATACTATAGTGCATTGACTAAATATGGGTCTTTTAGTCAGTATACTATGATAGCTAACAGGTTTAATTTATTAATATTATAGATATTCCTTTTTTTGTATTTTTTTTTTTTAGCTAAGGTTGCCATTACAAGTTATTACGAATTCGTCTCGACCTTTCTTTGAAAAACATAAAAAAATTAGACAGGCTGCAATTTTAAATGTTAAAAAAAATCAGGAATTTATTAGAAGTACAATGGAAATAAAACACAAAGTCAAGTGAAATCGTATGTTTGAATTAGGTGATTTTGTAAAAATTTGAATCCCTAATATTGATAAGATAAAAATGGACAGAAAATCATTGTCTTGTAAAGTAATTCAAAAAAGAAATCAAGATTCCTATCAGATTGCTTATAAATTTGGAATGCTTGATAAATGGTATCCAGCAAGTGAATTGATACCATTAGGTACACCCGACTATCCAAATCTTGATATAATTCCATTGAATGAAACAATTTCACTAAGACATGCTGCTATTAAGCAAAATTATATACGTCTAACTCAATCTTTAAACTATTTGAACCAACCTTCAAGGTAAGACTTTATATTAAATAAGTTTTTTGAGTAACTTTTAAGTTATATATATATTTTTTTTAAATTTTTTATTTTATAATAGTATTAGCGATGATCAAGATCTTGAAATAAATCAATTTGAATCTAAAAAAACTCACAATTGTTGCCACTGCAGAAAAACAAATTGCAGCAGTAAATCATGCTCATGTAGAAAAAATAATTCACTATGTTCACGATGATGTGGATGTGTCTTGCAGAATCAATACAAAAATCGTTAGATCCTAATTAATTAATATATTAAAATGCTATATTTAGTATTTAAGTTTAATACTTAGCATTTATAAAAGAAAACTTTTTTTATAGCTTTAGTATTCGCAGAAAAAACTTTATTATCATTATTTTTACAGTATATATGCAAAGGAATTTCTTAAAAAATTTATTATTTTTAAAAAAACTTTCTTTTACGTATCATATGTATTTAGCAAAAAAAAACTTTATTAATATAAAAGTTGTTAATTGATCGGACTAATCGGTAAAATTCATATCGATCCTGAAATAACACATGTTATTTTTTGATTCGCAACTGACATGCGTCGATTCCGAATTGACGGGAATCAATAAATGACATGCAACAAATATACTATTTAATACATCATCCACCTTTATTATTTTAATACCAGCTAAATTATATAATTAACAATGGTCAAATAATTACACCCATTTTCATAAATTCTTAAATAACTTAATTATCAAATCAATAACACTAACCTAATTGTTAACTGATTACTATCTAATTTATGGCGCAAAAATTTGGGCGGTCCCGTGACTAATTAAACAACAATGATATCAATAAGATCCTAATTTTCATCTAAAAAATTAATGGTTGCGTTAATACAAAGTTGAAAGAATATATCCAAATTTTTGTATCGAAATCTTTTATTAAAAACAAACCGTTGATTTCCTTTGTGAATTTATGAGTTTTTGTGATTTCTTGTTTTTTTTTGCCTTTAATTTTTTACTTCGCATTTGTATTGACACGAGCGAAACGGCGAGTCAGTCGCTTGACAAACGGGTATGTCGTGTAACCTACAAGTCAGGCTTAGTCGAAGAGGCGGGTTATATTTGGCGAGTGTATAGTTATGATTGTAGGTATGGTTTGTATTATAATGAAACAGATAATTATTATGGGGCGAATTGTTTGTTAAGCACTAACTGAGCTGTTCTTGGAGGGCTTCGAAGCCTTTATTATATATTTCCATTACATAGGGCACGTTATACACTTTATTCGTAATATACCTCCTATACTACTTATAATGTTTATGCTAATTATACGGATAATAATGTTTATATTGATTATTTTAATTATACTCTTGACCCCACTGATATCCTTTATTCACCCGATGCACAGGATACATGGTATACAGCCAATACAGCGTATACTGCCGGTAAACCCATTTTAGGTAGGTGATCGACATAGCCGTTTATCCGTTACTGCGCCACGCCGACCACCTGCTTTAACGAGCTTCCGGCACCACCACCCTACCGCTCACAGTATGTTGCACGCTTATCTTACAATCGGACTGGATTTGAAACCTTACAAATCTAAATGTATAAATACAGCGCTTGTCTAGAAAATAAAGCAACTGCTTCAACATCTGTACTGAATTCTTACTTTGCTCAAGTAATAAATATAGTAGATAAGTGACCCTTGGCTCGAACATGTCCTCAAGTTGTGTTCGGCAACCAGTACTTAGATGCATACCCGTAACCGGCTCTTGGATAAACTATCAACCCAAATCGAGTATCGTGCAGCACCATTGTTTGACGATAACAATGTAAGTCTCTTACGAATACACACACCAGCGACCGTACGTTTATGTTTGTGGTCCGATCCGACAATAAGTGACAACACAAGATCATATACTCGGTTACACGAAGCCTGATCTAAGCCAATCAAATATGATATCTTATAGTTCTCGGTTTTGGGAAGGTGTACTGTATATAGTGCCGCCAAGGGAAAATGGTACTTCGGGGTTTCAATTATATTTTATGCCGGACATAATTCTTAATAAATTCTTAATAAATTTGATAAATTGCGTCCGATACAAAATATAATTGAAAGTCCGAAGTTACATTTTCCCTTGGCAGCACTCATATACTATGATTATTGACGACTATCAAAGATTATCACTACATTTTTTCGTATAAAAATTCACAAATGACTATTTTTTTTATTTATATGTCTTTATTCACTTCAACAATTTTTTTATCATCATTAAAATCATCTGAATCATTAGATTCGACAGCATGATGTATATATAAAGTACTTAAATAAGGGGAATACGCTTTAAATTTAATAAAGAATAATTTACTAAGCAAGTTGGAAAGCACCGAAAGACCTGATGCTATTAAAGAGAAAATTAAAAGAAATTCGATTTCGACACTATAAAGAAGATAGAATATCTAATATATATATATATATATATATATATATGCGTTAGCAAAATTAGGCAAAGTAATATTGTTTAACATTTTTAACATACATACCTGAATAATAAATTGTGGAATATCTGCCAAAAGTACGTCAGCGCAAGATCCCCAAAAAATCATTTTCAATGATTTATCAGAGAATGGAGCATTGAAAATTTCAAATTTCATTAAATATGATTTTAAAACCAATAATATATCAATACTTGAGCCAGCTAATAAAGCAAATAAAGTAGCGGATCTTCCATATCTTGCAAACCATTCGACAAATTTGTCATCTCGTTGCATAAATAATATTGAAAATGCTAGAATTAAGTTGAATCCTAAGGGGACTGCTAAAAATACTACGCTACAATAATTTTTTTGTTAGTAAAAAAATAAATTAAAATTCAATGATTAATTATTTTAATTGATTGATATACGATCCTTACCTTGGTATGTAAAGAGCCTGGATACCTTTAGCATCGGTAAAAGTAAACGCTGTAACAGTGATAATACGAAATATAGCAATTCCAAATTGGAGAATTGCGAAATTTTCACTCTATATAGTATTGTATGTAGAGGCATAGACGTAATGCCATGCCTTATCATAACTATAAATGAATTACAGCATTTTTTTTTCTCATAATTCAATATAGTTACAACAAGTTACGGCATTATGTCTGCACCTCTGGCTATATGTTAGGCGCTAAGAAGCTAAAAGAAATAATATATTCATTTAAAAAAAAAACATCACCTCTGGTGATCTTAATGTGGCTACTGCGAATACTAATAAAAATACAACTATAGCTACGAACATCACGATGAGCTTTGTCTTGTGCAAATCAAAGAATTCTGATATTGACACTATTAAAAAAAGATAGACAAAATAAATTATAATAAATAAAATGAATAAATAAATTATAAATAAAAAAAAAGGGATGGACAAAAAATTATAATAAAATAAATAAATAATTTATAAATAAAAAAAGCACATAGTTTTTACCAGTTTTTTGAAACCCATAAGTTTCGTCTAAATAGTTTGTGAAAGCCCCTGTTGATATATTTGTATATTGTTTATTTCGTATTAGTAGGTCTAAATCGTCTTTAATTGAGGTGGTATTTTTTTTGTCACCGCTTTGTGCTGCAATGATAGAAAGCGAGATAAGAATTTTTAATTCGTCAGAAGATGTATCAATTTGATTATGTTTATTTGATTCCAATCTTCTATCTTCTGTTGGGATAATAATTACGAGTTCATTTATTATATTAGTGAAAAAATCTTGTTTTTCCGACTCATTCAATTTCTGAAAATATAAGGTTCCATTTGTTGTTAATCGTAGTTTCCCCAAGACATTACCTAATTTAATTGTAAATTTAAAATTAATCACAAATTCATGTATATAAATTTTGATTAATAAATTTAAGAATAAAATTTACTGTCAATTTTTTGATTTTGTAGAGTCCCATTATCTAATTAAGTTTGTTAGTGAGATTTAATTGTCACTAAATAAAGTTAAAAATTGAAGACAACTATATAATTAGATAATATTAATATAAACCTGTTTGAAAAGTCCACATATTTGAACCAATTCCAAGCATGGGTTCTCCGTATTCACTACTTTTTATGAAATTATTATCCATTTGTATATAATATTGACCACCTGGATCATTAAAAGTACACCTAAATACATCAAGAGTGATGACTTTGTCAGAGGCAGCACATTTACTACAAGTTTTTGCATTAATTAATTGTCGAATAATATCAGTTTGATTGATTCTTTGATAGATGGTTAAATTGGCATCAGAATATGAAAATGAAACGCGGTCATGAAACGTAATACTAATTTCTTCGGTATTCAATGCTAGATTACTAATGCCTTTTTGAGGGTATGTTGTATCCACATTTAAATTACCATAACCATTATCTATAAAATATAATTATAAATTTAAAAATAAAGATTGGTTTCATATTATAACTCAAAAATCAAATATTTTACCATTATACGGAGCAAGCTGAGGCAGGTCGATTGAAAGAAGTCTCCAAGAAGTAGTAGTCTCGTTTTGAGCTATTATCATCGTATTATTTTGTAATATATCAAAGGTACCAACTAAATTTGAAGTGAGAGGCGCATACTTGAATTGTCTATTATCTTCATCGTAAAGATTAAATGTGAAATTTATAATTTGTCCAACAATAGGAGTTCGTAAGATTACAGCATATCCTCCAAGAGGTAGTATTTTAATACTTGGCACGGTGTTTGAAGATATGTTGAGTATAGAATCCAATTTCAGTAGGATCCCGAGGAAAGAAAACGTACTTTTATATAAAATGGAGTAATGGAGGTAGTTGGTGTGGTACTTGTAGTAGTTGTGGGTGTAATTATTCTAGTATTATTAGCTGATAATCCAGATAAAATACATATATGACCAATGTTGGCATAGTCGACAGAGCAATATAAGCTAGTGAATGCTACCAAAAGATTAGGGGTAGGCATTTCATGTAAAATAATTGGATCACTTGTATATGATTGATTATAATTTAATATTATGGCATATATTCCAGCATTCGCGGTGAATTGAGCGGATAATGAGTTAGAGAGTGTACTTGTGATGGTCGTGTTAGCATACACAATTGCATAACCACCGCTTAAAGTAGCAAATACGGTAGCTTGAAAAGTGTTAGAACCTATATTATAATTCTTATCACTTTGTAATAAACTGAAGCTTCCATCACCATTACTTAAAAACACAAAGAAATTTAAATCTTACACATTTATATGTGTACAGAATATATTATTAACAAATACAAAAACGTAACATACTATGCATATTGTCTCCATTCGAAATCGTTTGTTCCACTAACCCCAGATAAACGTAAAAATCCTCTTTTAGGATTGATGTTAATTGATATAAATGAACTTGGAATCCAATTAGTGGTGCCCGGATTTAAAAATGATGGCCCAAACTCGAGTGTACTATGAAATAATAATATATAATCAATTGCATATCACTACTCTTTAAAATGTAATTAGCAAACCTTATGTTTTTTCCGCTCCAATCCAAGACCACACCTCTATCCACAAAGGTTGTATTATCAGCAGTATTAGTTGCATGAGTATAAGTTACTAGAATATATTGATCAAATAATGGGTATATTCCTATAGGATTTTTAACAGCATTAACATAGCAATAATTGATATCTTGTATTTCTTCAATATTATCAAAATTTATCGGAATAACACTTCTGTTTTCATGAATAATGCGAAGTAATAATCTTCGCTCAAAACATCTATTAATACCAACGTCAAAACTTTCCCGGGCGGTGCGAATGATAGCTGTATTTTGACCGTCTCGATAATGGCCAATGTCTATGATGAAAGGTTGTCTTCCTGTAAGATTAGATTGGATAGGTCTTTCAGTATAGATAAATTCCGAAAATTTTATAACATTCTGCGTAAGTCCCGTTGGTAAAATGGTCAAGAGGAAAATAGTAATAAATAAGAAGGCCCAACTATACAATAGAGTATTCATTTTTTTTAAGTTGCTATTCAAAATATAAAAGAATATGCTGAGTTTGAATTAAATATTTAGACCTCATAACCAAAATTTTTGAGGAATCAATTATGGTTATTTTCTTTTACCTTATTACTATAATTGTAATACTGTATCACTAACTAAATTATTAAATCGGCATGAAACTTAATTTAGTGTTTGGGAACTTGCTGATACGTTCAGATTTGAAATAATAAGCCTTGATTTATTGATAGTCAGTCGAGTTGTTGAAATATACAATTTAAAAAAGGAAATTATAGTTAAAGATGTTGATGAAATCAAATTCATTAATTCATAACATATAAAGTGAAATTATTACCACTCACTAGTTTAATTTAGCCAGTTTAATTTAACCAGCATTTCTGAATTGTAATAAATAGAAATAATTGTTAATACTTCCTTTTTTAATTATTATGCCTTATTTAAACCACGCAATTGTTATTCGTTATATATTATATTTTGTGTGTTTAAAAATAGCGTGATTATTGAGTAAAAGGCAAAGTGTAGAAATATTACATAAGGGAAATTGTAAAGACGTTAACCTTCTTTTTCAATTAAATATAGGCTTCTACTTGGTTTTCAAATAATTTGGTATTTAAAATCGTATTCATGTTCTGAGATTTCGAATTTATTATTGCGATTATTTATTTGTGTTTATTTTGCTTTAATTTTAATTATGTCTAAAATATAATGAAGTGTAATGTAATGTATGATCTACTAGAATACTTGCAACCGATTGGATAATGCGCTGGGCGGAATGAAGTTGTGAGCACAGCCATAATTTTTCTTCTCAATCTTCACTGGGGCTTGTGTTTCTAAATTTATATATAATTTACAGATTTAACGATTAATTGTCATGATCGCTTTACTTACCTTTTTTGGTTTAATCAATTCATTAATTTATACTATGTATAGTACTGCACACGGTACATCACTACTAATCGTTACCATAAACTATTAGCCCGTATATACTGAGAGCGTAACAGTATATGATATCAATATTGTTTGCAAATAGTTACAATTAATTGGACATGGATAAAGCAAGGGTGTGAGCGCAAAGCCTTAAAATTTTCACGTATCGTACTTGCGTGAACTACAGGTGCAGAAACTTGGTTACGTCAAAAAAAAAAAAAAAGTACATATGTAGTTCAAAAAGTATTGTAATGGCCAAACATTTTCCGTAACAAAGTTTTTGACCATGACAAATATTAAGCAATGATGTGATAGATATAATTAACTTCCTCGAAAAATAAATTTGTACGAAAATCGATGATCAGCATTGAAAGTGATTTAAATGAACTTTAATCCTGAGGAACTTGTTGGTACCGTTTTAAATGTTTGAATTAGAAATTACGTATTAGCGTTAGTTTAATTTACACTAAAGTGCATGGTTTACAGCCACATTGAATGCGTGTAAGATAGTGATAGTGCGTTGGGCGAAGTGCAGTATGGTTACAAGACCTGTGTAGTATTTGATATATCGTTATGAATTAAAAAATATAGTATCTATTTTTTTTCTGTAGAATAAACATTTTAATATAGTTTATACTCTCAAAACTGGTATGCACGATGAATTGATTTTGTATCAGTTTTGAGAGGTTATAAGATTTAAGAAACAATAGGCCTGCCAGTCGCATGATTGTAAATCAATCTGATTGGATAAATTATATGTATTGGATCCAAATGCTATTTCAATAATATATATTTATGTACAGTATTAATAAATACATTTTTCAAATATCGGTGATGGGTTATCGGATTTGAATTATGGAACAGAACAGACATGGTGGATCAATTTTCAATAAGTTACCGTATCGTTGCGAAATAACGCCCGGGCGTTATTTCAAGACACATTGTTTGAAGAGCTAATTATTAATTTAAACGAATGAAAATCATAATTTTTGGTCTTCAGCTAAATTAATTATTAGCTCTCTTCAATCAATGTGCCCTAAATAACGCCCGGGCGACGATACGACATGACTAGTTATTAGTTTTGAGAGGACAAACCTAGTTAAAATACTGTCAGCTCCTTTAAGTGTATTATAATGTGATAAACAAATATCTATTGATGAGGTATCGAGTTTAATCAGTTTAGCATATATCAAGTCGGTTAAATTAAATTGAATTTAGTACATAACATCGGGAACTTTAGCTGATTTATGGCAATTAGTTTTAAATTAATAAATAAAGACACGTGTAATTTTTAAAAAATAAATACCTTTATCTCCTTTAACTGGACTTGAAATTCTCTGAGCGTTAATAATTTTACTAGTATGCATTGAAGTTAGATTCTCTTGTTTAATATCTGGTAATGTTTTAATTATTTTATCAGCATCCAAGAATTTCTCTTTGATTTGAAGTTTATCTAATTCTTTATTATTAGAAGTGTAGCATCAACGATGATAAATTTTTTAACCTAATTTCGTTTGCAGTGGGTCGTTTTTTTGAACATGGTTCCATACAGTTTTTAGCTAATTTGATATAACAATCAGGAGTTTTAGTGTAAATTCTGGTTGCAAATCTTCATTAATCTTCAATTAAAACTTCAAATCAAATTCATGACCATCAAAAGGTCTCTGACCAGTTGACATTTCTTCCATAATAACACCTAGGTTATAAATATTAATATATTCTGCTTTATATATTTTTACTAAATCATTTGATACATTAATAAGTTGCAATAATTTATGTTTCTATGTAAGTTCTTTAAATTTATTTTCTAAAAACTTATTAAGGCTTTCATTATCAGCAAATTGAAGTACCATCATATAGTTGCCAGCATTAAGTTTAAATATTCATTATTTTTTATGTATTAGTTAATTCATAAATCTCTAATTCACTACTTATTAATCTATAGTGTATGTGATTTTTAAATTTATAAATAAATTTAAATTAATATTTAATATGTTAATTGTTTGAAATTATCTAAAAAAATAAATTTAACTTATTTTTGAAAGCACTTAGAAAAGATCTTGAGAATTAGATAAGGCTTTAAACATAATTGTGTTGATGTGATCTTACCCAGTTACTGTTTTCATATTCAGTAAATTGTATGTTATTCAACTAAACTACTAAAAATACTAAGCTAAACCTTTTTAATAATACATTTAACTTCTTTCAACCTATTAAATAGAATTTATTCAATTATCTTATCATGCATAATAGCTTTATACTGACTAAAATTTTTAATGCAATTATTAACATATTATCCTTAATAATTTTTAAATATTATTTTGGAATTACATGCCTAACACCAGGTATAAAATATATTATACTGTTTATATTTATATATTTAGTTTGCTTTATATTATTTAAATTTTGATATTAGTAATATGTTTTATTTGTTAATATAAAAATAAGTTAATTTTATATATATATAATTTTATATATTTTTTTTTTTTTTGGTATTAAGGTGACCTCTTTGGTCTTTTGACTTTTTATTAATCACTTATCAGTATTGTGGTT